GTTTCTTGGCACCAAAGAAATTTGAACTAATTTCATTATATGTTCTAATAGCTTGCTGCCAGTACATGAAAACACAATTTTTTTATACATTAACCTTGTCTCCTGTAATCTTGATAAGCTTATTAGTCCTAAGGAGAGTTTCACTTCTTTTCTTATCTTTATGCTTTTTCTTGATTTTGCTTGGTTTATTGCAATGGCTAGGCCATCCAGTATGATATAGAACAAGTAGTGAAAGTAGGCTTTCTAGGCTTTGTCCTGATCTCTGAGGAAAATAATTCAGTATTTTACCCTTAAGTAGTATTTGGTTTCTCATATATGTGCTTTATCAGTTTTTTCAAGTTCCTTAAATTTGCTGAGAATTTTCATCATAAAAGGGTGTTAAATTTTGTCAAATGTTTTACATGCACCTATTGAGATTATCCTGATCTTTACTAATTTATTAATTTAGTGGATTATACTGCATGATTTTTTAATATTAAAACAAATTTGCATGTCTAAGATGAATCCTAGTTGGTCATTTTTTTTTAATATTGTTAAATTTTTTTGCAAATATTTGTTTAAGAATTTTTACATCTATGTTCATGAGAGATATTGATTTCTAATTCCTTCTTTCGTAAAGTCATTTTCAGGATTTGAGAATAGTGTTATACTGGCTTCATAATACAAGTTGGGCAGGAACCCTTCATTCTCTATTTACAGAAAAAATTGTGAAAATTTTATATTTTTTTCCTTTAATGTGTGATTAAAATTCATTCATCTGGGCCTGAAATTTTATGGGAAAATTTTTTATATCACATTCAATTTCTTTAATTTATGTAGAGATATTCATATTTTCTATTTTTCTGTATCTTCCTTTGTACAGTTTTTTCAATAAAAATTTCTATTTTATCTAAATTATTTCATTTGTAGGCATAAAATTGATCATTATTCTCTTACGTTTTTAATGTCTATAGGATCTGTGGTGATAACCTCCCCCTTCATTCCTGATATTGGTGATTTGTATTTTCTCTTTTTTTACCGTTCCTGTTAACTCTACTCTTATCTTTATTATTTTTTCTTAACATTTTTGCTTAATTTGGGTTTACCTTGTTTTCTTAGCTTCCTAAAGTGGAAACTTAAGCAGATGATTTAAGATTGCCCTTCCTTTCCATGTGTTTAACATTATGTTTCCACTAAACATACTTTAGCTATATACACTTTTATTGTCATTCAACCAAAATATTTTCTAATATCCAAGTGATTTTATCTTTGACTCACAGATTATTTAAAGAATGTTGTTTAATGTCCAGATATGTATGAACTCTTCTAGCTAATTTAGTATTGATTTCTAATGCAATTTGACTATGGTTAGGTCATGTACATTGTTGATTGTATGTTGAAATACTGATTTATTTTTATCTAACTGTTTTATCACTTGCTAAAAAAGATGTTATAAAAATTTCCTACTGTGACTGTGGTATTAACTGTTTTTTTCATATCTTCTACATCTCCAATTATTTATTTTTCATCGATGTTTTATAATTGTTGAGAGAGATGGCATAAAAATTTCCTACTATGACTGAATAAAATTAGCTATTTTTTCCTTTAATTCTGTTCAGTTTGTTTCATATCCTTCTTCAGCTCTGGTAATAATTTTCTTTATGTCTATTTTATTCAAAATATTAAAATAACCAAGTCCAACCCTTTAATCTGTGTGTATATTTTTCCCTAGGCATTTATTTATATTGTTTCATTATTTCAATTGTTTCTCTTAGGCAATATATAGTAGTATTTGCTTTTTCCCCTGCTTTATAAATCTTTGCCTTTTAATAGTAGTAGTTAGACCAGGGATCAGTAAACTTTTTCTGTGTAATAGGCTTTGTGAATCACTGCATTCTCTGCTGCTGCTACTTAAGTCTGCAGTTGTGACCCTACAGCAACCTTAGACAACATATAAAAAATAGGTGTGGCCAAAATGGCCTGCAGGCCTTAGTTTGTTATCTTCTGTTCTAAACACTTCTAGCTAACATCATTAATATTTAATCAAGTAATTGATTAGGTTGGCTCAGCCCTACCACTTTTTTTTTGTTTCCTGTTACTATCCTGTTTTTTGTAACTCTTAGCATTTCCTAACTTTAAATTGATCTAATATTTTTAGTATTTCATTTTAATTAACCTATTGGCTCTTTGGTTATATCTCTTTGTATTTTTGCACTTTTTAGCAGTTATTCTAAGTATAATACATATATATAACTTATATATTTATAAGTATAAACAGTTATACATATTTTTTTAATGTATAGAAAAATATTACCAAGCTATTTATCATTTCCTTGGATTGTCTTTACTTCTCAAAATTCAAATTTTCATCTGGTATCATTCTCCTTTACCCTGAACTTCTTTTAGCACGAACTGTAAAACAGAACTGCTAATGGCAAATTCTCTTAGTTTCCTTTCACCTACACAGCCTTCATTTCATTTGATTTCTGTAGGATTTCTTCACTGGCTTGACAGTTTTTTTCTGTTAGTACTTTAAAGATATTGTTCCAATGTCTTCTGTTTCTTTGGTTTTTAATGAGAAATGTTCACTCATTCAAATCACCGTAAGCCTATATATAATGTGTCTTCTCATAGCTGCTCTCAAGATTTTTTTAAATACCTTTGGTTTTTAGTTATTGTAATCACAATGTGCCCAAGCATGATTTTCTTTGCATTTATCCTTAATGATAAACATGCTGAGAATTGGGTGAACTTGAATATATAAAAGCTTATTTCTTTCTGCAAAATTTGAGATCTTCTACAATTACTTGTTCAATTTTTTCTGTCCCCATCTTTTTCTCCTTACCTTCTGGAATTCTGATCACACATACACTAGAGTATTTTGTCCCACAGCCACTGAGGCTCTGATCCTTTTCAATAATGCTTTTTTCTCTTTTTTTTTCAAATTCAGTCATTTCTATGCTCTATCTTCAAGATCAGTGACTCTTTTATCATATACAAGCCACCTTCAAGCCAATAAGGTATTTTTTTTCAGGTACTGTATTTTAAGTTCTGAAATTCCATTTGATTCTTTTTATACTTTCTATTTTTCCATTGAGAATTCTTACCTTTTTCATTTTTATACCTCATGAAAAAATTATAATAGCTGTTCTAAAGCATATTTTGCGATTCAATTATTTTAAAACAAATTGGAAACAATCATTTGTGTGGTTAATTTTTGCATTTTTCTCCAGAATATATAGAAATAATCAGTAGGGTGGATGGGCTGAGGTAGACTTCTGTTGCCATGCTAGAGCTGGATCTGTTATGGTTTTCTTTTTAACACTGTGATAAAGGATCTAAAGAAAGTGAATCTGTTTTTCTAAAATCAGTTTGCTAGAGCTAGTAAACTAGGTGGCAGACATAAAACATCAGGAATTAGTTGTTTTGTGGTTTTGGTGGTTAACATCCCTAATCGCGGCATTAGTAGGACCATTCCCCCTTAAGCCTAAGTAGAACGAACGCTTCAGGGCCTCTCCCCCTTGCTTCTGGTGGTAGCCAGGAATCCTTGTGTTCTCTGACTTGCTGCTAGATCAGCCCAGTCTCTGCCTCCATCATCACGTGACACTCTCCCTACCCATCTTCACATCAACTTCCCTCTGTGTGTGTCTGGGTCCCAATCTCCCCCTTTTTACAAGGATACCAGTCACCCTGAATTAGGGCACGCCATAATGACCTGATTTTAACCTGATAACTTCTGTAATGACTCTATTACCAGATGAGGTCACATCCGTTAGTATACCTTATACTGGGGTGCTAGGAATTCAAAATATCTTTTGGGTGGGACACAATTCAATCCATAATAGTTTCCCTTCCTCCAGGAAATGAGCTTCAGCAACCATCAGCAGCAGCAGCATTCAGAGAATAAGCTAAGGAGGGCAAGTCATTTCAAAATTATGTTCTTCTATACCACTGTCGGTCATAAGAGAATGGCAAATGGCCACTAAACTGGAACATTTAGTGTTCAAAAGCATTTACTACCAATCACGCAAGAAATGACTTTGAGCTTTTAGAAGTTATGACAATGTTCACTTAATGTAACTGCCTCATCATAATTCTATGTGTTACAATAATAAGGCCTCACCAATATATTAGATCCAATCTTTTCAAAATGAATATATACACAAATACATATTTTTAATAACTATACACACACACTCCATATATTGTACAGTAGGAGGAAAGAGGCAGGAAGAAGAGAAACGAGGATGCTATCAGTAAGGAGGCTCTATAAAATATGGAATATTTGACCCAATTTAAAAAATAAACTTGAAAAACTGGTTTATAACCACTTAATGCTAGGATAAACACAGATGTATCAACACTAACCTGTCAGATCTAGTAATATTCTAAAAAGTATTGTTCTAAAAATATAATTTCAAATAGTATTCAACACTGACAGTTTATGTGGAAAGTGTTATAGTCTGCTTGAAATCAAATAAACAAGTATTAAATTGTATGCAATTAATAATTTTTATAAACCCAGGAGATCTGTGTTCATATTAAATTGTAAAACTGCAGCATACATATTTGGCCTATAACAACTAAAATGTTCTGAGACTAAAAAAACGCCTTTTTAAAGTAGTAAACAGTGCTTTTAAAAAATATTACATATGGAGCCAAAGAAATTCTGAGTAAGAATCTGATTGAAAATTACATTTAATCATTTCAACAGCCTCTTCCATTCCGACAGTAAAGCAGTTTTTCAGCTTTAAGTTTAAAACCTTTACATCTGCAACTGATTTCATTCCATCAGCTAAAAGATGCGTTTATGCTGCAACCATTACATTTTTAGAAGAGTTCAAATTACAAAACTTGAGAGAGCTTCAAAGCAATACTTAATCTAACCATTCTGATCTTGATGGCCCTATTAAAAATAATTTAGGACACTTAATAGAAGAGAAACCCTTTAACAAAATGGGTAACAATTGTTCTTAAATCACATTATTTTAAATTTCCTTTCATAAATCAAATATACCAACCTGAGGGTTTGAGCATTTTATCTCAAGTGACTCTAGGTCAACATGGAGACAGACAACAAATGAATGCCTTGTATCAGGTCCTGTAACAAGTAGTTTCTGAGATGTGACAGCCAGAGTAGAGGTACAACCCATAGGTTCCACTAAGCAAAGTGTCACTTGTTTTCCGAAAAGGGTATATAAGCTGAAATGATGCAAGCTGATAGTCCAAGGAAAAGCATCACCTGATATTGGGGACAAAAGTGGGTAGGTAAGCACACATACAAATATATAGTTAATTGCCACTTTAAAGTAAGCTATTAAACTGTATTTGAGATATAAAATATTTAATACAGCATCATAAAAAGTGGTTGTGCAAAACAATCATTATGCTAAACAATTTACATGCACTTTAAGTTATTTTAAAATTATATTTGTATTTATTATAACATACTATTTTATCAATATTATAAAACACAAAGAAATAGAAATTAAGGAAATGAGATAAAAATATAAATACAAGCTCTAACTCCCAATTCCCTCATCCCAGTGTGTTGTTTTGTGCAAGTGCTGGGGATGTATGCACTATATCTTGAAGACCATAGAAAATATGTTAAAATAGGAAAAATGCAGTAATCTCTGCATGGTAACCACAGATGTGGCTGTGGAATGAGAGGAAAAAAATAAACAGTCTACAATGGTCTTGTAGACCACCTGCACCAGAAACTTGTGGGTGTTTATATAAAATAAGAGTTTCCTGGTTTCTGCTTAGACCTACTTCATCAGAAACTTTGGTGGTGAGACCCAGGATGCATTTTGACACAACTGTGGTGGTTCTTATATATAATGTTACTTTTTTTAATATGCTTGATAAAAAAATTAATACTCATAAATTCGGGATTAAAAGCCAACTTTCTTTTCTTCTTTTATACTTTTTTCTTTTCTTTAGTTATCAGAGTTAATTCATTAATATAAACATGACATAACACCACCTTTTTTATTGTGGCTATAGATAAAGTGCTTTGTGGAGTAAATTTTTAAAATTTATTCCATATTAGGATATTTATGAACATTTATTACTAGGATCCCAATTTGATGAAAAATATGTTCCTATGACTTCTATTTTTGACTTTGCAATTCTATTAGCATTTGTCAATATACATAGTATAGTACAGACTTCTTTTCAAATAAATTATTTTATAAGTTGAAAATATTTTCTAATTAAAGGTACTAGTATCTCACTTATGATACTTTGGAAAATACATATAAAGAAAAAAAACCAAAACCAGTCATAACCCACCTTCTACACTGCCACTCCCCATAATAAGCACTATTAACATTGCTATATTTCCTTCAAGTCTTTTATCCCCCTCTGTTATTGGACATGCCCACACCGAGTTAGAAACAGGATCACACCATAGTTTTATTTTCATGTTATTTTTCAATGGTAAAAAAAAAAAACACAGTGAACTACTAAACAGATTGTACTATATACATACACATTAAAGAAATCCAAACATGCATTTGAATTTGAATGATGATACTTAGTGGATGCTACAAGGTAGACTCTCTTAAGTCTGAACATTCAAAATGTCTTGACCAATTATAGTTAATATAATTAAAATTAGAAACTTTGAAATTGAGACTTGGATAGTAAAATAAATCTAGCTACAGGATAGTCCACAATAACCTGACTGGGAACAAAGCAAACTGCCTAATAATATGTGGTCAGCACTGTGATACTCTGCCGGTTTTAAGACTTAAAATATTTTGCCCCCAAGAAGGAATGACAAACTTTAAATCATCTGTAACTAATTCAAAAACTATTTTAAAACCTACACAAAGTTTCATGCTATTTACAAAATAAAGGGTTTGCCAAAATTTGTCTTAAAATACTTTGGAATGATTTTAGGTTACACATTTTATAACTGGTAGTGAGCTATATATAGTGTTATAATTTAATGTTATACAAGAAATGCTAGTTGGTGACTATGTTGGATGAGGAGTACCACATACAAATTGATTAAATTTAAAAAATCCCAAATGATGTTTGTACTATGTCAGACTCTGCTGCTTCTTTGGAATCAGACCAATAAATTGAAATTGGATATATCATCTTTTAAGTCTTAAGTAGAACCTTTTAAGGTAATACCTTTATGTCCATTTATTTAGCATGCATTGTTTTAAAAAGCACACCCTACCTAGAAGATGAAAGATTAACATCTAATGATAAAAGTTCCCATAGTTACTCACTGGGGAAAAAAAAATTACCAAAACAAATAATTAACTGCACAAGTATTCCTCTTACCACACCTACATATATTATGTACACAAAATGCAATAAAAACACCTTATCTATTTATAACACTGGCAATATTATTAATGTTCTGAGGACTCCCTAAAATATGCTCAGATAGTCATGACAGGTCAGAACCATGTATTATTCTAAGACCCTCAACATTAGTATTTTCACTTTAATTGGAAAGTCCTAATACAATAAGATGGTTCTTTAATTTTAGATAAACTACTGCTGGCAGAATTCATAAATTTTGAAACAAATAGTCTAAAGAAAAAGAAGAAAGAAAAAGAAATCAAGAAGATTGAGAATTCCACTTCGGTGTGAATTCGTGAAACCTGTGTATTATCAACAGAGAAACAAATACCAATAAAATAATTATCAAGAAAATGATAAGCAAACACTGATGTAATTCATGTAAAATAATGTGAGAATGAATGTGATAGAGATTTGGGAAAAAATGAATAAAGAAAATTTAGTGAAACTATGTGCCACATGTGTCAACGACAGGGAGTGGGGACTTCAACACACAGTATTTAATTAAAATGGAGGGAAATCTTTAGCATATGGATTCCCTCACATTCTATCACATGCTGCTTTTTACACAACACTAGAAGCAGAAGTTAAAGGACTGGTTTAGATAACAAAAGAAGACATTCTAAATAAACAACTATATATACTGCTGTCTTTCTATATATACACACATGTGTATATACATATATACACACATGTATCAAAAAATTTATTAATGTTGAGGTTAGTGAACAGTGACTAATTATACAGATGGTTATCATATACTTCTAATTTATGAGCTTTAATCTTGGGGGGTAGGGATCAATGTTCTAGAAGAGAGTTAGTCTTTCTCTTTCTTAAGATGCACCTCTATACTGTGTATGTTAATTGGGGCCAATGTGAATCACTTCACAAACATCAAAGTGGCAAATGCAGAAAGAAAGTTGGTCAGTATTGGAGATACCTTCCCCAGTTTTCTTTGCTTTTGTAATCTTATAGTCATTAGATATGTTTAGAAACAAAAAAGCACCTTCTTAATTTTTTCCCTTTATGTCCAATATGGGACATATAACTGGACAGTATGGGACATCCAGTATGACTCAGGCAGGTTTTTAGTTCAAATGTGAATTAGTGTAACCAGGAATATTTTACTACCATGAGGCTTAACACTTTGGAGACAGATACTGTATACAAGCACAAATGAGCCAACACTGCTGACATTGTTTCCCCAAACCATTTAGTATTCATTGATTTAAAAGCAGTTAAGATAAAAGGTTTTTTAATTTGAAGTTATGTTTTTAAGTAATGGGTACTTTCAAGGAATGAATGCATTAAAAATGCTATTAAGTGTAATCAATTTCCCTGGCAGAGAAGAACAGCTGAGATGACTAGAAAGAGGGAAATGAGAATGAGGAACCTATAGTTTTATTTGCTCTGTAACCAAGTTTCTAATTCTGGAAAAAAATACTGTTTCGTATTAAGAAATGTGAAATGTATTACATGTACAAAATGTAATAATCATGATAAAATAATGGATAACTGACTTTAAATTTTTTAAATAAAGGTTTGTATCTAGAAACCCAAGAATTCACTGTGAAAACTACTATTCACTTCTGAAAGATATTACTGGTTTAATAAGTTAATAATAAAAATTTAATTGCTGCATAAAGAATAATACTGGTTTTTAAGATTGTCTAAAACTTATAATTTCAGTTATAACAATGCAAAACCATAACAATTACTGATTTTAAAACAAGAAGGGGACTCAAAGAATAATAGCACTGTCCTTTAGGCAATTAAGGTATTAGTAAACATTTCACAATTTTAAAAAAGATGTAAATATTGTAAGAATGCAGGACATATTTAGGGTCATACAGTCATCTAGCAATACACACCTTCAGTTTCTATAGGTTGTCAAAAATATTACAATTCCGCTTATTTTCTAAAATGACTTACAACTAAACAAATGGTCCTCTTTATCTCACCTAATAAAAAGAATCCTAAATAATTGAGGAAACATTATCATAAAATAGTTTTTGAGTCTCACAGTTCAGTGATATGATAAGTGGGTTATAACTTGAAACTATAGGGTATAAATATCCTTATTTAAAATTGTTTTTTGTTTCTTGTTACTTATTTTATCTTTTTTTAAATAACTGAATAGCTATTTATCCTTTATTATGCTATATAACTGAATATGTATTTTATAAACATGTTCTCAAAAATTTAATAACAGATTAGAAGGATGTTTAAGACCCTATCCCATTTTCAAAATATTTTCAGCTATATACATATTTATAATAAAAATTAAGTTATAAACATCTGCAAGACAAAAGTACTAGATATAATTAGATATAATCTTTTTTCTTAACACAACACATTGTGCCTATAATTTTAGTGAATTTGAGAAAAATACAAAACCTTCCCAAGACTTCTACAAAAGAAGTGTTTACTGCCATTAGTTGAAAGTCAAGATTAACTAATATAAAAAGCTTTGCAACTTTAACTCTTCTAATAAATGAGTACTCATTAGGAATGAAAGACATACATTTGTATTTTCTTTTTTATTACTGAAAGACTATATCAATTTATGTTTATTAATTGGTTTACTGAGTACATCAGGAAACTGTAACACGCCAGGTACAGCAAAACGAGCCTAGATTTTAAATCAGACAGACCTAGATAAAAATCCTAGCTTTACCTGTCCCTTAGTGTTAGGGGGAAAATGATTATTCCTAAATGCTCAGCTTTTCACATACAGTTTTTACCCATTTCGTGCCTTTTCTGTTGATAAGCAGAAGTGGAATACTTCATTATAGAAAGAACCAACTTAGTGACAAAAGAAAGGAGGAATAAAGAGTAAAGCAAAAGGTAAAAAGTAAAGTCCTGATGAGTTTTACTTCTTATCATTACTTGGTATTAGTAAAAAATTTTTTT